ATAGAATTATATGAATGAAAGGCCAATTTAACCCCAACGGTGTACAGGAAGATAAGAATAAATTGGAAGCAGCGAAGTGGATCTTTTATATTTGTATTAGACAAAAGAAACAATGAGATGCAATAATGGATACTTAATATTGACAGGGGATGGAAAGGGTATAATGCAACTATAGGCGATGCTGTTAACAATGGCATTCAAGAGGTGTTATGCAGACAATTATAACAATTTAAGGATGTTTAAGGGAAGGTGATGACCACTGTATCCCCATGATTGTCTCTCACCTCAAAGGATTTGCAGCCACTTGGTGGTCAACCAACCAACAACAAGTCAATCTCATCAATGTCTGGAATAACCCTGTTTAGCCAAATCAAAGTTTTTGCCCCAATTTCATTATCCAGTTTCACACCCTACCCTTGAAGGCAAGTATTTTAGTCAGTTAGCCACCAAAAAACAACAAATTAATGAAGACATCGACATCTACCATACCGCCATACAGGAGCTTCTTCATTATATAGAGTCGGGTGGTTACCAATATCGCAACACTGCAAAAGCCCAAATTTTTCTCAATGGGTTGAGGCCCGAATATATTCTTGCAATTGCCCCTTCGACTTCTAATACATTACAATCTGTCTACGAATATGCGAAGGCTTACAAAGTGCTTGTAAGCAAAGTTTACTTTATTCTATTACTTTTATAAGCATTCTGTACTCGTCACAGCCCCACCTTTCCATGTCTAATGGGTTCCAACCTCCTGTCTCTGCTTTTGAATTAGCTATTGAAAAATTAGCAAAGGCTGTTAATAAAATGTTGATACAGTTTCAAGAAAGGCGGCCCCTCCTGCAGGAAACTTCAATAGATCTGTATATTATAAGTGTGATCGGGTGAGACATATCAGTAGGACTTGTTGGCCAACCAACCCTCAATCTAATTTCACCCTAATCTGGTCCCCCTAAATCAATCTATAACTCAAAATCTGACTTCAGTTCTTGTGAACTCCTCTAATAACTCTCCTCTAATAAATCTTGCCAATCCTACTCCAAACAATTCTGAATCTTGTCAGCAGGAAACCCTTTAAGCTCTCTTAGCATTAGCAGCCAGCCTAAATCCTCCTAATAATTCTAACAATTAACATATCTATATTAGCATCTCCATTGAAGATGTACCTTTATTTACCGCCAGTAAACATGATCTACAATACCCTAATAACAATGCATCTTCTAGTAAATATAGGAAGGATGTTTTGGTAGATTTAGAGTTAGAGGAAGAGACATTAGGACAACTTCTTGAAAAAGAACTTAATTAGTAAAAAGAAAATGAAAAGCTCTTGGAAGTAGAAGTCAAACCCCCTCCTGCTGTCCCATCAAAAGTCACCATAGCTAAACCTAGACGTATTATCCATAAGAAGGTGCAGGAAGAAGAACTCCCTTAAATTGCAACTTTGGTTACTCCGTCTTCAATTGTTCCAGATATACAGGACAAGGTTATTAATGTTAACTATCGACAGCTCTTCCACCTCACTCCTAGGTTGTGAGGTGAATTGGGTAAGAGTTTGCAGAAATAAAAAGCCTTTTGTAAAAGAAAAGTAAAAGTGAATATTAGTATTAGCATGGAGAAGAGGTCCAAGGCTTTTTATTGTGATGCCCAAATCTTAGGGAAGATTATCCCATTGATAGTCAACAGTGGCTCTTCCGGAAGTGTCATTGTGTTATATTTGTTGAGGGATTTAGAAATCAAAGTTGAGCTCCCCTCCACTATCAATATTATTAATGTCCACAGTGAAAGCAAAAGGGCCTTAGAAGAAATATCCAACTTCCCGTTTAATATCAAAAACATAGAAATTCCTATTGATGTCATCGTAACCAATACCGGGTCGTATCAAGCTATTGTGGCCAATGACTGGCTTTCTAAAGCCAAGCTAAAATAGATTGGTTCACTTCTGAAATGATACTTATTTGGAGAGGTAAAAAAATTACCCTTCCCATTGAATATAAGAAACACCTCCCAGAACAACTTAGTAAAAACTGTCCCACTATGATCTGTAATCTCAAGGAAGAATCAGAAGAAGAGGTAGGCGATAGGACTATGGATAGTGACGAGGAATATGAGGAAAAAGAATTGAAGAATAGGATT